AGATTACCTATCTAGAATTGGTCGGAAAATACAAAATGAAAGATATACTGAAGGTAAACTAAGATTGTCTAAAATTAATTATCTATTGGACAATCAAATATATTCTACGTTTCAAGGATATCATCTGAAAATAATTCAGATTTTATAGGATTAGTGGATGTGCTATCATCATCCGGGTTTTGTTCTTAAATGCAAAGTTAGCTTAAGTGTAGCGATTTATGAGTTTCACTGTTGCACTTTATTGATACATGACTTTTTTTTTTTTTTAAATTACTACACTTTCCTGGTTGAATTTTTGTTAGAAACAAACATAGTATATAACTTAAACAATATAAAAACTGTAACACTATACAAATATAGACAACAAGTACTGAATAAAAATGATGGCAATTATATTGCCAGTGATGACAATGATGATGACAGTGGTCTCTTCTATTGATCAATAAGGTCTTACACTAAAGCTCACACTAAGTACTCATTATGCATTATCTCATACAGAGCTTGCAGTAATCTATATTTGTTTTGTTTTAATATGTACTTCATATATATACTGTTATCTTAAAAATTTAAATTAATTAGCTCATGATTGCATTTATGTAGAGTAGCAGAGCAAGAATTACATCTAGTTTTGACTCAAACTCTGTATAAATATGCATTGAAGCAGATAAACCTACACAATTCCAAATTAAAATTTGTAGGCTATATTCTAATAAATTATATTTTTTTCCCTCAGAAGATCTGTTTACATACTTCCAAATTCATCTATGATTAATGCTGATGACTGATCACTATGAAATGTCATGGGAATACATTATTTAAATACACACACAACTGCTGTGTATTTATGATCTTATTGTTTCTTAATAGTTTTATGATTCTTAAACTCTATTGCTTATTAAATAATTGGATACAATTTAGTTAAATATTAAATGGCATCATTAATTCCTGAAACATCTATCTAATATGAATTGTTACGTAATCTCTGTCTCTTTAGTTGAATTCGCTGTGGAAACATTTGATACAATGAGGAATCACACGATGAATTATATACAAAGACACTGTGCATTTTCTTGACTTCAGAAGAAACTTCTACATCATCTAATTCTGATTCAGTGAAAGGCAATTTATAAAAGAGCAAATTCTAGAAGACTCACATAAATTCAAAAAAACGTATTTTCTATAGACATGCATGATTAGGTAAGATTTGTCACTTGTATGGAACTAAGTTTGACTTTATAGAGCCAGTGCATGAAAAAGCAGTTTTGTTGGTTTCTTACTCTTGCAGGTAGGTGAGTAAGGTGACTTTTTAGAGACTGTTGATTAAATATTACACTGCTATTGTCCCTCCATGCATGGATGTGGGCTATGTTTAAGGCGTGTTTCTCCTTCTCTATGACACCATCATCAGAATGTTTTCCTCTTGCTTTTCCTTCCTTTTGCTAAGGCCATTATTGCTATTATTCAAATCACAAGGTTTTAGGGGAATGATAAAATCAAGCTACATGAAAATGTTTTGTAAATGGGCTAAATTTATATCAGTTATTGGTATTTTTTTCTGTATAAAAGCTATATTAAAGGGAAAATAACTTATTTGGGTTTATTTTTTACATAAGAAAAAAAAATTCCTCTTCTCTTTATAATTTTAGTGGTCTGAAAAAATAACTGAAGCAGGTTTCCTGTCAGGTACACATTTCCTTTAAAGGATATCTGAGGACAGAATATTAGCAGAGAAGAACAGAAGAACATGGGTAATTTATATTTATATTTATATATATATATCAGAAACCAAAACCAAACTCACTGCCGTTGAGTCAGTTCCAACTCATAGTGACCCCTCCTTGGGTATTTCCGAGGCAGTCTCTCTAATCTCTATGGAAGTAGATCCCCCATTCTTCCTTCTGAAGAGTGGCTGATGGGTTTGAACTGCCAGCCTTCTGGTTATCCATCAAATGCCTTAGGCACTATACCACCAATATATATATTGAATAGGTAGTCATGAGATATGGAGCCACATCATAAATATGAAGTATCCTTCATTATATATGTAGTATACTTCTTTTTTTCATGTTGAAACTAGAATATTGCTACCCATGGGAACTGTGCATGGATACAACCCTATATAAAATATAGACAAAAGGAATCATTGCAATGGGGATTTCATTGATAATTTCAAATACTGAGTTTTAAAGCTTGCCAATAATTTTGAACTACAAGTTTAATTATATATTATGATATCAATCTAATATATAGGCTGCTTGTTGAATCCAAAAGATATTTATAAAATATGTTTTCCTAATACTTCTTTCAGAAGTTATAAGAAGTCATGCAATAAATAAGGAACCATAACCTCCATTCAAGACCAGGGCACTGCTGTTAATTTTATTATTATTATTACAATTTTCTTGGTGATATAAACATACAATAGCTGAATTACATGCACATTATTATCAGTAACATAATTTTCGAATCGTTGTTTATTTTATGAAAAGAATGATTGAACATGGTGTCAACAGCTGAGAAAGTTAAACAATGGACCCGTAATTCACTCATCTTCATGCTTAGAGGAAATAGCTTCAAATTGATTTCCCTCTCTACCCTATATTTATCCCTGTATTTTTAAACAATATGTTTATATTCTAAGGCTTGATTCCTATATCCCCAGTTCTGCCTCATGCCTGAGGCGATTGTGAAGTTGAGCACTCCCCACTGCACCCTTTCCCCACCATGTTCCTGTTCTTCATTCTCCCAACAGAGCTACACCCCACTAAGTTTCTTGGGAAGAAATGCTAATAGCATTGTTCCAGCTTCTAGAATGTATTGCTCATATATAAAAATGTAACATTATTGGAAAACCTGACAATATTCTGTCATTCCTGTATACATTTCTTCCTCCTTCATTACTATTATTTTTCTCAAGAAACTTTTAGAATTTTCTCTTTATAGTTCATATTGAGACTTTTCAAGAAAATATTGAATAGAAGGCATTGAGAATTTTCAAAAATATTCTTTCAGTCAAAAATTTCAAATGAAATATTTTTCATATCTTTTCTCTATACAGTTTGAATGCTGTGTGGATATGATGGTTCATATACTTATGAGAGAATGTTTTCCTTTGGTAATATTAACTCCATAATTATTTTGTTATATGCATTTCTAAGAATGTCCATAATCGTATATCGAGGCTGCTTTATATTAAATATCCAACTCTCATTATTTCAAATGCCAGTCCTTTTGTGGTGCTGGAGTTTGTCTTCTTTTTCTCTATAAGATTTTTTTCCATATTATCTTAAAAAAATGAATTGAATCATTTTCATATATTACTATATTTTTAATCCCCAGGAGAATTTTTTTCTTATCAGACATATCCTTTCATATAGCACAATATTTTGCATTGTTCTTTTAGTAAGTTCTCTTTCTTTTCAGAAGATTTCATATGTTTTAAAGAAATTATTTTATCTTCTCAATCATTTTAACTCACTGTATCACACATGTGGTGATTTCCCTTTTTCCTGTGGAGGCTTTATCATAGATGTGGTGAATTTTTCCTTAAAATAATTCTTCAGACTTAAACACTACAACTTTTTTTTTTTGTCCACACTCACCTAACAATATCTCAGGTTGTCACTTACGTTTAAATGATAAATGAGTCCTTTATCCACATTCCTTCTTCCAAAGACTCTGAATTTTTCCATCTTTCATTGTCTCATCTTTTGCTCTTATTTTTAATCTTTATATATATATATATATATTCTTTTCTTTTAAAATTTATAACACATTTATGACTTGATCGTCATATAATTTAGGTTTTAAGTACAAAGATACATTCAAGAAAAGTGGAATTAATAAGAGAAGGTACCACTGTACAATGTATTTTATTGGATAAGTATCAGGAAAGCAGACTGACAAAATTCACTTCCTCTCTGGGGACATTTGAACAGAGACATTGCACCTTCAAGGACACTGTCATATATATATGCTGTAGTGAAGAGTCTACTTTAACTAGAATTGGGAAATAAGGGTGAAGGGTAAAAAAAAAAAAAAAAGAAGTGCATAATGGAAAAATTGAAATAAAAAAAACAAAAAATGTGGCCTAGTGAAAATGAAAGGAACTCTGGTGGCATAGTGGATAAGGCATTGGGATCCTAAACAGAAGGTCAGAGGTTCAAACCCACCAGCCGCTCCATACAAGGAAGATAAGCCAATTTGCTTCTGTGAAGAATTACAGCCTCAGACACTCGAAGGGGGTTGCTATAAATTGGAATGGACTCAATGGCCATAAGTTAGTGAGTTTGAAGGTAAATGATACTTGGCAATGAGAATTTGTCATAGATCTCAGAACTGAAGATACAAATAATAATACCTCACTTCTAGGAAGTTTGATTTGGCGTTACTATATAAGTGGACTCAAAAAATAAATTTAACTCCTCAACGTGAGCTGATACACTGCCACAACATATCCAAGGACATAAAATTAAAAGAAAAAAATCATCTCTTGAAGGTCATAGAAATGTATTTATGGTCTTTAGTTGATTTTCAATGTAAATGATTTGAATATAAGGTGTGAACTCAATGGTCTCTAAGTGTATGCTGTACAATAAAAGAACCATATCCTTCTAAATCATTATAGAAATATTTTTCTATCACTTCACCTATTTCTTATGTCATATTTTTGTCATAAATATTTGCCTCCTCATATATAACCAACCACAGCCATCGAGTCAATTCTGACATATAGCAACTTCCTTTACATTTCCAAGTGGTAAATCTTTACAGAAGGAGATTGCCCAGTCTTCCTTATGTGGAGTGGCTGGTGGGTTTCAACCACCAACCTTTTGGTTAGCAGTCAAATGTCTTAGGCAGTACGTCACTAGCTCTCCTTAAATAATCCATAGTCTGAGTAAATTAAGGAATATAAAGAAAAAGGTGGATTTACTCACCTATCTTATTCTCTCCAGTCTGTTCTCAGGAAAAAATAAATAAATAAAATAAAAGAATATCTGATGGAGAATTACAACTGGACATCAACTGATTTCATCTTACTAGGGTTGTTACCACCATCAAGGATCGGCCTCTTCCTTTTCATTATCATCATTCTCATTTTCCTACTGGCTCTGATTAGCAACCTGTCTATGATCTTCCTCATCTTTGTGGATGCCCATCTCCACAAGCCCATGTATTTCTTACTTAATCAGCTCTCCTTCGTAGACTTGAATTATGTATCCACCATTGTCCCCAAGATGGCTTCTGACTTTCTGTTTGGAAACAAAACAATCTCCTTCTTTGGATGTGGAGTTCAGAGTTTCTTCTTTTTAACTTTGGCAGGTGCAGAAGCACTTCTATTAGCATCCATGGCCTATGACCGTTATATAGCCATTTGCTTTCCTCTTCACTATCATGTTCATATGACCAAAAGTGTGTGTGTGCTGATGATTACAGTGTCTTGGATAATGGGGTCTATCAACTCTTGTGCCCACACAGTATATGCACTCCATATCCCCTATTGCCAATCCAGGGCAATCAATCATTTCTTCTGTGATGTTCCAGCCATGTTGACTCTGGCTTGCATGGACACTTGGGTATACGAGTACACGGTGTTTGTGAGTACAATCTTGTTTCTTGTGTTTCCTTTCATTGGCATTGCTTGTTCCTATGGCCGAGTTCTCCTTGCTGTCTACCAAATACCCTCATCAGAAGGGAGAAAGAAGGCCTATTCAACCTGCAGTACCCACCTCACTGTGGTGACTTTCTACTATGCACCCTTTGCTTTCACCTATTTATGCCCAAGTTCCTTCCGGTCTCCAACAGAAGATAAGATTCTTGCCGTTTTCTACACCATCATCACCCCTATGCTCAATCCAGTAATCTATAGCCTAAGGAACCAAGAGGTGACAGGAGCTTTAAAGAGAATCATTCAGAGAATCTTCTTTGTGAAAATGTAGACAAAGATTTGTACCCCAGTTCCCAAGCTGCGTGAGTAAATTTGTTCAGAAGTGGACAGCCATTATGAAAATATTATTCAATACTTAGAGACAAGGAATAAATTTAGAGGATTGTAAAAATGACATTTGAAAAAATAGATGTATATACCAAATCCACAATCTTTATATTCTTTGTAATGATAATATTTCCGTCAATAAAAAAGGAATATAGTAACTAATATCTTCTAGACCATAAGGTTTTATTAAAATACAGAAAAATGAAGATGGAATGTGAGTAATTTGAAATTACTATTCATTCTAGTATAGTTATTTTTCCACTATGAATAAATTAAGACAAAAACTCACCAAACCAAACTTAGTGCCTTTGAGTCAGCCCCAATTCATAGCTACCACTCCTTGGGTTTCTGAGGTGGTATCTCTATTGAAGTAGATTGCCCTACCTTCCTTCCAAGGAGTGGCTTGTAGGTTTGATTCCCTAGCCTTCTGGTTAGCAGTCAAATGCCTTAGGCACTATGCCACCAAAGCTCCTTAAATTAAGACAACAGGACAATAAATATTTTAGAATGTTGTTGTTGTCAGTTGCCATTAGGTCTGCTCCAATTGATTGTGATTCTAATCACAGCAATATGAAACCCTGCTTGGTTCTACATCACCCTCACAGTCCTTGCTATGCTGTAGCCCATTGTTTCAGATTCTTTGTCAATAGATCTTCTTGAAGGTCTTCCCCTTTTCCACTGAGCCTCTACTTTACCAAGTATGATATCCTTCTCCAGGGAATTGTCCCTTCTGACAATATGACCAAAGTAGGTGTGATGAAGTTTGGCCATTCTTGCTTCCAAGGCACAGTTCAGCTGTAACTCTAGGACAGATTTGTTCATTCTTCTAACAAACCATGTGTGGTGCAGGGAATTTCTTGGTATGGATTTTCTAGTCATAGACTTTGTAACTCCCACCAGATTACTAGGTGAGGCCATGGAAATAAGGTGTGTAGAACTCCAATATTGGGATTTGTTAGTTTTATCACTCTTGCAGGCTTAAAATGAGCTTTCCTTGAGGCTAAGGGGGATCTCACTGCTATCAAGAAAGAAGAGCTAGCAGTGGAGAGAGATTCCCTGCTGGAGAGAGGGTGGCAGTGGAACCAAGAGGCATGAGACAGAGAGGCAGGCTTACCTGGCCCACAAAAACAGAGGCCAGGCTGAAAAGCCAAGGGCCAGAAAGGCACAGGACAGATTGTACTAAAGGAAGAATTGTATCCTGAGTGAGTTCTTGAACATGATTTATAGCCTATTATTTCCCTAATAAGCCCCATAATCATGAGTATTATCTGTGAGTTCTTTATGACCATTACAATGAATTTTCAAACCTAGAAGAGAAGCAGTAAGTAAAATGGGAGGGACAGTTGTTGTCAAAGTTGGTAAAAAGGCTGGATGGTGGCAGTATGTCTGGTTTCATAAGAATAATCCTTGGGCTACTGATGGTGATTCTGTCTTCCTCTTCTGAACTTAGAGGAGTTCAGAAGATGCCACCTACATGTCTTTTTTGCACCATAGTATTTTAGCTATTCTTCACCAAAACTGCAATTCAAAGTCATCAACTCTTCTATGGTCTTCCTTATTCATTCTCCAGCTTTCACATGCATATGAGGCCAATTTAAATACCATGGCTTGGGTTAGGTGTATCTTAGTCTTCAAAGTCACATTTTTGTTCCTCAACACTTTAAAAACTTCCCTTGAAGCAGATTTTGCCAGTGCAATATGACTTTCGAATTCTAGATAGCTTCTTCTAAGGGTGTTGATTATGAATCTAAGTAAAATAAAATCCCTCACAACCTCAAACATTTCTCCATTTATTATGATGTTGCTTATTGGTATAATTGAATGGCAGGTTATAATTGAAAGATAATGAATCTCATGTTTATTTCTATTATTTTTCACTCTTGTTCTTGTTGTTAAGTGCCGTTGAGTCATTTCCGACTCATAGCGACCCCATGCACAGCAGAACGAAACACTGCCCAGTCCCGCATCAGCTCCACAATCCCTGCTATACTTGAGCCCATCATCACAGCCACTGTATCAATCCATCTCCTTGAAGGCCTCCCCCTCTTTCGTCGACCCTCCACCCTACCAAGCATGACATCCTTCTCCAGGGAATGGTCCCTTCTTACAACATGACCAAAATAGGTGAGACAAAGTCTGGCCATTCTTGCTTCCAAGGAGAATTCTGGCTGCACTTCCTCCAGGAAAGATCTGTTAGTTCTTTTGGCAGTCCACGGTACTTTCAGCATTCTTTGCCACCACCACAACTCAAAAGCATCAACTCTTCTTCGGTCTTCCTTATTAATTGTCCAGCTCACATGCATATGAGGTGATTGGAAATATCCTGGCCTGTGTCAGGAGCACCTTAGTCCTCAAGGAGATATCCTTGCTCCTCAGCACTTGAAACAGTTCCTTCGCAGTTGACTTTCCCAATGCTACACATCATCTAAGGTCCTGACTGCTGCTTCCTTTGGCATTGATTATAGAACCAAGCAACGTGAATTCCTTGACAACCTCAATCTTCTCTCCATTTATTGTGATGCTGCTCATTGGTCCAGTTGTGAGGATTTCTGTTTTCTTTAGATCGAGACATAATCCATACTGCAGACTGTATTCTTCAACCTTCATCAGTAGGTGCCTTAAGTCATCCTCACTTCCAGCAAGCAAAGTTGTATCGTCTGCATATCTCAGGTTGTTAATGATTCTTCCTCCAATCCTGATACCACCTTTTTCTTCATATGGTCCAGATTCTCAGATTATTTGCTCAGCATATAGATTGAATAAGTGTGGAAAAAGAATACAACCCTGATGCACTCCCTTCTTGATTTTAAACCATGTATTGTCCCCTTGTTCTGTTTGAAAGACAGCCTCCTGGTCAAGGTACAGATTCCTCATGAGTACTTTTTCACTCTTAGTGGTAATAAAATTATTCTTATTTTATTCATGTTCAAAACTGAATGTTATGTTCTGTTAATATTGAATGGGTAGAGAGCTCTGCATGTATATAGAAGGCCTTACATGGAGCTCTGATACCATAGTACTTAAGGCATTTGACTGCTAACCAGGAGGCTGATAGAAACCCACCAGCTATTCCTTGGAAGGAAGATTGGGAGATCTATTTCCATAGTGATACTGCCTCAAAAAATACAAAGAGGGGTTGCTATGAGTTGGATCCAACTCGATGGCAGTGAGTTTGGTTTTGGTTTGGTAGATGACTTTGGTCAGAACTCATCTGTCCATTTCTCATATTATGATAGCTTGAGTGTTGTTGTGAGGTTAGAAGCTATGCCACCTGTGTTTCTAATACCATTAGGATCACCCATGGTGGACAGATTTCAGTGGAACTTTCAACAAAGGCAGGGCCATATACTTCTAAAAAGTCTGGCCTCTAACACCACATGAATAGCAGTGGAATGCTCTCTGATGTATTACTGGAAAACTTTATAAAGAGCCATGAGACATTGTCTGATATAGATTAGAAGACACTCAAAATATGACTGGGAAAGATCTGACTCCACAAAGTAGAGTAGACCTTAATGTCATGGATGGAGTAAAGCTTTCAGGATCTTCATTTGCAGATGGGGCATGGCTAAAAATGGGAAGAAACAGCTGCAAATATCCATTAATAACTGAAGATGGGATGTACAAAGTATGAATGTAAGGAAATTGGAAGTGGTCAAAAATGGAATAAATAAAGATTGATATCCTAGGCATTAGTGAGCTGAAATTGACTGGCTTTGGCCATGTTGAATCAGAGGACCTATTATGTGGGATGTGGTTGTTAGAGTTGTGTGTCAACATGGCTGGACCACAATTCTGAGTGGTTTAAGCAGTAGTGATGTGATTTATTCCCATGATGAGATCAAATGTATTTGTTTTGAGCAGCCAATCCATTGGAAGGGAATTTCCCTAAGGGTGTGGACTGCTTCCAATATATTTATGGAAATCCTGGGAAAAAGAGCACTCTTCTGTGGATCAGGATCCTGTTGTGTTGCCTACAACTGTCCATGAGTGAACAATCCACCATTCAGCCTGGAGATCTTGGATCTATCATTCCTTGGAGTCAACAACTGATAAAGTGCCCACCAACTGTGAGCTGGTCAGCCCTTGCTGAGGAGTGTGAGTCAGGAAGAGCCTCCAGATTGATGTTTGAACCAAGAACTTGGGACTTACCAGCTTCTATAAGTGTGTGAGACATTTTCTTAAGATAAATTTCTCTTTCTCTCTCTCTATATATATATGTTTTACTGGTTTTGTTTCTCTAGATAATCCAGCTGAACACACTGGAATGAAAAATTGAAGAAAAATGACATTATATTCATTATCTTAAGATCTATCCTGAAGTACAATGCTGTCAGTGATAAGATAATATCCATACACATACAAGGAAGAAAAGTTAATGCTATTATTATTCAAATTTACATATAAACCACTAAAGACAATGATAAAGAAATTGAAGACTTATCAAATTTGCAGTCTAAAATTGACTACACATGTAATCAAGATGTACCCATAATAAATGGTAATTGTACTGAGAATTTTGGAAACAAAGACTCATCCTTAGTTTGGAAATATGATCTTGGTATTAGAAATGGCACCAGAGATTGAATGATAGAATTGCACAAGGCAAACAACTTATTCATCGCAAATGGCTTTTTTCAATAACATAAACGTTGACTATATACAGGGAAAGTCAAAAAAGTTTCCTCATGTATTTAAATACAGGGAACTCAGCAGATAGAAGACCCAGAAATCACTTCAAATACATCTGTGGAAAAAGGTGATGGAGAAGCTCAATATTATGGATCCAAACATTGGCTAATGTTGTCAGAAGGGACCATTCCTTGAAGAATGATTCCATGCTTGGTAAAGTAATGGGAAGGGAAATTGAAGACATTTACCAACTTCTGCAATCTTAAATTGACCAAACATGTAATCTAGACATATAGCTTATTGGTGGAGATA